CTTTTTTTTCAAGACAGACCATTTTCATGTCAGACAATATTTCGTGGGGGGTAACGATTAGGAAATAGGTCAAGAGGGACCAGCGCACGTAAATAGTAGAGAATCCGATCAATTTACAAAATAAAACATTTTTTAGAAAAAAAGTCAAATGACAAAAAATATACAGTAATCCCTCGTTTATCGCGGGGGTTACGTTCCGAAAATGACCCGCGATAAGTGAAATCCGCGAAATAGAAAACTTCTTTTTTTTTTTTTACAATTAGCAACTATTACATGTATACAAATACAGTGACTCACGTGTAGGCCGTTTCACTGCTCTTCAGACTGGGCCGCTGCATCCTGACTGCGCTCTGCAGTGTTCTCTTTCCTCCTTCTTTATGTAACGAACGGAAGATTCATTGATTCCGTAATGGCGAGCAACGGCTGCATAGCTTTTACCTTCCCTTAGCATGTCCAGAAGTTTAACTTTATCTGAGATAGGTAGCATCTTCCGCCGTTTGGGCCCATCCGCAGGTGCTTTTGTCGGTCCAGGCCGTTTCGTCGACATTATGGGTTTAGGAGATGTTCGAAATTACAAGATAATTTGGCCAACTTAATGTAAATTTGCCAAGCTGTTTTATGTACGTACACATAACTGCACGAGACGACAAAATGATAGCACAATTCGTAGCATGTTTTGATACAAGAAGCGGGAGTGAGTTTTTAGCGAATCAGAATGCAGAGCACAATGCACCAAAAAAAAAAAAAATGCATTATGAAAATCCGCGAAATAGCGAATCCGCGATAAGTGAACCGCGAAGTGGCGAGGGATCACTGTATACATATATGTTCTTCCTGTGTTGGTCCAGTACCGAATGGCCCACAGACCGGTACCGGTGCGCAGCCCGGTGGTTGAGGACCACTGCGGTAAGTCACAACACAAACAGAAAACTCATCAGCTAGTGTGACTTAGGAAGGTCAGAGGTCATCCAGGGAGGAAGTGAGAGAGGAGCAGAAATAGACAGGCGGGCAGAGTGGGAGCGAAGTGTTAGAGGTCAGCCGTGGTTAGCGGTCAGGAATGTGAGCTTCTCCAGAATTGTGCACCATACTGATGCTCTGTCTGATGCTGTAGCTGAGAGTGGCCTGTATACGTTTCCATAACAACACCGTAAACTTGACTTCTGCAACTTCTGTCATTATTTTGTAGTTTGTAATAGCTTGCATTTACTGAAACCTACTTTGTGGAAAAACGGTTAACTTTTTGCCCTTTTTACTTTTATGATAAACCACTTTGCTGTCGTAAATATGACCCTACGATCTGGAATTTTAAGCGGAACTCAGAAAGACGCGAGAAATGGAAGTTAAGGCAAAAGTATCTGCTGCTGGTCTACCAACTGATTATGTAAAAATTGCTATTTCAACATAACTGTACTGGTTGCCTTCATGTACTGAAGGAGTATTAGTTTCCTTTGTGTTTGTGCATGAAGCTGTTTTGTGTCTTCTAGTTTTGAAGGTTTTCCATGAGAGGACGAAATAAATGTCAACAAGCATGTACTCTTTTATGACCAGTGGGGATGCAGCTACAACTGCATCCCATTTAGATACAATCCACTCTTACCTTTTCATTTAGAAAATACCCTGACACTAATTTAAGAACATGCATAGTTTTCTAGGGCCATGAACAACATTTTGACCTGCAAATAAAGTGGATAATTTGGATATTTATATCAATAAATAATTAAAGGTATGCATACAAAAGTACTTTATTACATGTTCAAACCGTATGCACAAAAGAAAACTTGTATTATCATGTACTGTACATATAATGATACATTTCAATTAGTTAAGACAGGAAAACCTTCCATCCACAGTACCAAGCTGTGTGAGCCGGACGTTGTCCTCTTTCTTTCTCTCCTCTGCTTCTTCTCTCTCTCTACTCTTTTCCCCCTCCTTCACATCCTCCTCTTCCTCACTTCCTGCTGCTTGGACAGTTGTCAGACTTGTCTGACCTGCATGTCTGACAAAGCTCTCAACTTGTTGTTCACAGGATGGAAAGTGATTTTAGCTTCAACGTGGAACAGGAACTGCTTCTGAAAGCAGACGCCAACTGTGGTCACACACACATGCACACACACACATGCACACACACGCACAGACAGACCCCTCTACTCCCCATACGAACCTGCTTGGTCTCAGCTGGACCTCAACGTTTTAAGAGGCATAAATCTTTGAGGGCCACCCATCTCTCTGCAGGTCACTGCACGGGAAGCGGGGGCCAGCAAGAGTCTAGTTTATTGGTGTTTAGAGTTTGTGTGTATTTGTATGGGTTTGTGTGTACGGGTGTGGTTGCTAAATCCAGGGTTGTGATGTATCTGTATGAATTAATCTACTCTATTGACCTTTATTTTGTTTTTTATGTGAATGGTTAATTTTGCCAATATAGCCACAAAAAATACCTTAAGTCTATATGCAAAAGTCAATAACTGGCAGAATGATTCAGAATCTGCCCTCCAATAACATTTAATAAGAAACAAAGTTATTAACAATATAGCTAATTTGGATCTGGATGCAAAATCAATCATTTTAAATTGGACATTTCACACGCCACATGCCTCTCAGCAGGACCTTTAAATATATATCTTTGTACCTCTACATATGAAAAAGAGTTTTAAGTTGTAGTCTAAGAAGAAATTGCAAATAAAGAACCAATACACATAACATCAAACGTTTGATGAACAGCATGTTGGTAGATATGAAATTTGTTTGATTTGTTCACAGACATGACAAAGAAAAAAAAGGCAAAAGCAACCCATAAAACCCCCTCAAATCAACAATATCCCAGACAGATCAGTGACATGTTATCCGTCCATCTCTCTCCCACCATCGTGCTCCTCTTCCCTCTTAACATCCGCCTAGGTGGCGGCCCTTGGCCCCCGCCCTTGGGGGGAACTTTTTCGGGAGGATGAGTGGGCGTGCCGCCTGGAGGGCCTTTCCCAGGGAAATGTGGAGTATAACAGAACCGCAGCCCTTGTCTCCCCCCCCCCCCCCCCCCCTACATCTCCCTCACCCAACAACACACACTGGAAGGTTGATTTCTGAGCTTTTTAGAGTGAAACCCTACCAATCCACTACACAGGGCCTCATTCATCCAACATAACAAGTTAGGAACAGTCTGATAGAAACTTATTATCATCAGCACTTACTTAGCATACCATTTTTATAACATCCTCAGTCAGGCAACTCTGCTAAAACGGCTATAACCAAAGTCCCACTAGCCTGAAAATGAAAGGGACCAAGAAAATGAAATCTTCAATGGTTTCCTCTTACCTTGCTGCTGTTTTGCATTGGAATACTTTCCACCTCTGAAGTCATTGTCCTGCACTCAACGAATAAGCCAATTCAAATCTGGTTACAGGAGTACATGCCCAACACTAACATTATGATGAAAACACAACATTGTACATATACAGTGGGAGGTAAATAAGTTTAAAAAAACACCAAAAATAACAGGCAAACATTGGTTGAAATGGGAACTATAGAGGCTGGCACTGTCAGCTGGAGGGGCCAGGGTTTGATCCCCTGCTGGCCCTTCTCTGTGAGGTGCACATGCTTTCCCCTGTGTTAACATGGACTTCCACAATGTACCACAAACAACCGCAGATGACAAGCGGAGCCCCGGAGAGAAGACTATGGACACGGTGGAAGCTCGGGCTGAGACCGGTAGCATCAAAGGTGGAAGCATGCCAATCACAATTTCTTTGAAGCATAGGTTAAATATCCAACCAACCATCCAAAACCCCTCCAAAAATAATTCAAAGTGGTAAACTGTATAACTGAGGAAGTTGTAATTAGTTGCATGTGTAAGTTTTGTGTTAAGCTTTTTATTCATGTGAAACAGAAAAGAGTTTGGTAAATAAGAATGCAATTAAACACCGATTTCAGATCAATGCTTAATTTATTTAACTTTCCAGTGCATCATGCAGCCGGTTAACTGAGGCATTTACTGGAGCATTTCTAATATTAAGCATACAGTTTGTACAAAGACTTCCAACACATTGGAAAGGGGGCCATCGGCGTTGCATCTGAACCTCAGGTGCAGGGCGATGACCACACGGCCCCGTTCAGTCAACTCCAGCCTCCATGTCGACCTGCAGTTAAAACTGTTTTTAGAACCTTGTTGGAAATACATCTTGTATCTGTTTTAGTATAATATCTTTACTGTGTTGATTGTATAATGTCTAAATTATCTGTTTTTCTGTTCTTCTGTTAGGGTTTTGATCAATGCCTTGCACAAGAATTTCATTCAAGCTAAATACATGTCAAATGATCTGTTGGGTTTATGTGGGACATTAGACTCAGTCCTGTGCTTGACTCATCAACCCTTACCTACAAAGACTATGCTAAACATGGTAACTGTGAAATGACAAAAACAGACATTTTTTCTCCTTAAATTTTGGTAGTTGGTTCTGATGGACAACAGGGAATCATTAACTCATCTCAATGTGACCCCTATTCGTAGATAGGGTCAAGCCTAAAAAATGAATTTCAAGATTAGCCGAAAGGGATTGCTTAGAAACTTTAAAACAAACCAAAGAGAGCTGGATCTTGGGAGAGAATCCTACACTGGTATTATATCTCTTATCTTATACATTCACCGGCCACTTATTAGTTACACCTTGCTAGTAAAAGGTTGGCCCCATTTTGCCTTTAGAACTGGCTTAATTTTTCGTGGCATACTTTCAACAAGGTGTTAGAAACATTCCTCACATATTTTGATGCATATTGACATGACAACATCCCGCAGTTGTTGCAGATTTGTCGCCTGCACATCTATGATGCGAATCTCCCTTTTCACCACATCCCAAAGGTGCTCTATTCGATGGAGATCTGGCCACGTGTGTACGTACGGTGTACAGTGAACTCATTATCATGTTCAAGGAACCAGTTTGAGATGATGTGAGCTTTGTGACATGGTGCATCATCCTGCTGGAAGTAGCACATCAGAAGATGGTACACTGTGGTCATAAAGGGATAGGCATAACTGTACAGTAAAGGTTCATACCGTTGGCGCAGGGGTTGCTGCTGCATTTATCGATCCTCTTCTCGCAGTTGGAGCCTGTATACCCAGACGGGCAGCGACAACTGTACCCACCGACCACGCTCTCCGTGCAGGTGCCTCCATTAAAACACGGCCCGTCTGCGCAGGTCATGGCGCTGATCTCGCAGTTCTTCCCATAGAAGCCTTGAGGGCATTCGCACGAATAATCATTCTCCAAGTCCTGGGGGGAAAGATGAGAGGCGATAAGAGGGGAGGAGGTTAAAATCTTTCAGCCTTCTTAAATTGCATGATTATTATTTTATGCGCGCACGTGTCTGAATGAGGGCACGTGTCGGGCCCAAAAAACAAAACAACGTATTCCGGACCTTCTTGGGAAGGCCCTGGGTGGAGCGTGGTGCCCCCCTTGTTCAATGGTTCAGGGTTAACTGAATTGTGTGCTTATTCTTGAAATGCGAAATGACTGAACATTAAAAGAAAAATATATTTAGTTATACAGGCTGATGGATCCAAACCCTTTAGAGCTTGGTGGAGCTGAGTGTAGGACTAAAGCTTCAGATCTGGGAACTGGGCTTACTTTGCAGCTGCCGCCATTCTTGCAGGGGTTGCTGTCACACTCGTTGGTCTCAATTTCACAGTTCTTGCTGGTGAACCCGGGCCTGCAGGTGCAGGTGTAGCTGCCCTGGCCGGTGTTGGTGCACGAGGCATCGTTCTTGCACGGCTTGTGGTTGGTGCAGTAATTCAGGTCTGAGGATTTTGATACAGCACAAGTGAAACAGAAACGTTTGGTAGGTACAACTAAAGCGAAACATTCCTCTGGAAAACGTCAATCCTTTTTTCAAACATACTCTTCTTGTAAAATGTTTCTTAGGTATGTAGAGACAAAGGTTATGTAGCAACAGTTTTACTGAAGAATGAAAAAGATGAGTGACCTTTGTAGGAGTGTAGTGACTGCTACTATTTTTTTATTTATATTTACTTCTCTACCTTAAAATGGATCTCAGTTTGTCAATTCCAGTGTCCAGCACAAGAAGACACCCCTACTACCTTAAACAGCATCATAACATAACACAATATGACAAGGAATTTGTTGGCATTTTAATTTAGCTTTTGAGGTTGAAAAATGTCTAAGAATAGCGTTCTTCTATTTTTGCATGAGGATTAAATTAAGAGAAAAAGATTTTTAATTTTTTCTTTATCCCTCAAAAGAAGACTATACACAGCGTGAATATGAAAGTAAAACCTGCAGAAACTATATGGCGTTGAAGCTATAAATGTGTAATACATTTTATGTTAATATTTAACAGAATTAAGTAGGGCTGAGCGGTATACCGGTTTCAAATTTCCATACGGTATGAATTTTTCATAGTCATAGTCATAGTCGTAATAAATGTAATAATAGCAGATAAATGTATTGTCCACCGCGTACCGATGGGGCCCAGCAGCCAGACCTACGTCGCTCACGTGTATTGAGATGGAGTAGTGGTTATAATGTTGTAACAATAATTAATAACTCACAACTAACGCTCTTTAACAGGGTAAAACACCACAATGCAACACATAAACAATTTGGAACACGAATAGGCCTAATTGTAAAATAAAAATAATAAAAAAATAAAAAAAGTAACTCTGTTGCTACATCAAAAAATTGAAAAGAAACCAGAGATGCACCAACACTGTGTGCTGTTTGGGGGATTTTTGGTTTAGAAAAATCTGACGTAAGTTAGATCAGAAAACGATTTAGCAAAGTTTGTTGAGCCACTGGTATTGCCTCTGATGGCAACACTAGCAGCCACAACATGCTAACAAGCTAACAAGCTAACGCGCTGGCCAGTAGCGAGCAAGTTAGCCAGCGAGCGGTGAACAGCAGTGCTTTTCGGTGTCAATGAATGAATGCGTTAAAATACCGGGATATACCGGCATACCAACAGAATCAGGCTAAATAGTGTGAATTTTTGGCCGTACCCCTCAGTACTGGAATTAAGTTCAAGAATGAACGGCCTTGCGCACACACAGCTTTTACTTCTCATCGACATTAGCAGGCAACAATTAGCTAACGGACAACAAACATCTGCAAGAACATGATGAGAATACTGTAATAGAAATAAACATAAAAATGGACGCATGAGCTAAAAACATATGATAATTTATTGTCATTATCACTTAATATAAATTAAGTAGTAATTAATTAATTATATCTGCAACAGTCGGCCAATTGTGACAAACGGCCGGACCACATCCAGACTCTAATATATATAGTGATACTTTGAAGGCTGGTTAACAGCTGACTTGATACGTGTATGCTTTAGTGGCAACATTCCTCTTTGTGTTGTTCACTTGAAACGCTTCTTTTGGGTCCCAAGACTGAGAGGTGTGCGTTGACGTCTGCAAGCCGCTGGATGATCCAGCTACCCACCTTGGTCACAGTACAGTCCTCCCCATCCCTCCCGACAGTTGCACTGCCACGGCTGCAGGCAGGTCCCGTGGATGCAGCCGGGGTGTCGGGCGCACTCGTCGCAGCGCTCGCCCTGCCAGCCCTGCCGACACACACACTCCCCGGGAGACTCGCACAAGCCGTGATCCTTGCTGCAACCTGCAGCACAGATGGCTGATGGGAGGAGGAGAAGGAACACACGGAAGGAGGGACGTCGAAGAAAGAGAGAGAGGGGGAGGAAAAAGAAAAGAGAGAGCATTACTATGAGTGCATGTGTGTCTCATGTTCTTCGTTCAAATCACAGACCACCCCCCTCCCTCAAGGTTTAACACACACACACACACACACACACTCACCCTTCAAGTGCTTGTTAAGTACTGACCAAGCAGCTGGCCCACACAACAAAAGCAACACATGCCATCTCTTTTCACGCACGGCAGCTCACATTAAGCTCCAGCGCGTGTTCCTGTTAAAACGTGCAAACCAGGGGCCCAACGGGGCCCCGACTGTTGAGCTAAAAACAAAAGGAGCAGACCCCAGAGCCAACACACACACACACGCATTGGAAACAACAGCATCTCTGAGATCTACAACCACCAAGGAGAAGCAATGGCGTTGACAACTGCTTGACTTAACGATTTTAAGCCCACCGGACAAATAAATTAAGCGCCAAGAGTCCCATTCTTTACCCTCCTTCCACCCACAAGCACCCCCGCCACAGCCTCCCTCCCAATCTGAAGAAACGTTAGAATAAAAGCAGGAGGGGGAGGAGTCGGGAAGAGGGTTCACAAGGCTGTTAAGAAAACGTTGCCCTTCTCAGGCAATGTTGGTGCTCTGTAGAAGCCACGCTGATCTCAACCTGTCACTCATCAGGTTGGCTGTCGAAACTTGTTCTCTTTATTTCATATATTTAAAATAATCTTCACTGTAGGAGCCCTTTACAAAACTGTACATAGAAACATGCCAACTTTCAACTAAATAACATTTTAATTGGAAATAAAATTCAAAGAAATACTATCAGACTTTTTTGAAATACTACAGTAGATAAAAAAATCTCTCAGTGTCATAGAATAACTGAGTTCACTATTAAGACACATATTTCCCGCTTCTTTCACCGATCTAATTTTACAAAAACATGGTGATGCCTTTGAGGACTCTCTCTTGGAGTTGACCCCTTTTATCAGTTATGCGCATCAGGCTTTACATCACGGGGGATTCAACTAAAATTTAGGAGGTTTAAGAGGTCCAGTTAGAGAAAAGTCCGGAAGATCATAAACTATTTAGTGTGATTAAATAGAGCGATACAGTTGTATCCACATCTGCATGTAATCAATACACGACTGACGATTCCAAATGAATTCAGTACAACTAAAAAACTCAATTGACAATATTTAGTGTCGCGTAACAAAGAACTGAACATCTATGTATGACTGCAAATATAAATATTGTTTACTTCAATTCAGAAAAATAAAATAAAGGGAAGAAATCTTTAAACATTCCAGAATATTCCATTTTCGGTTTCACATTCGGACCCGCACAGACTTGATTGGTCAAGTGGGAACATGTGGGATGTCTTAACTCGAATCCAAATGGTTTTGGCTTTAAGCCAGTAACGCAAAGACTACCAAAGCTGCGCCGGTTGAAAAGTGCCCCGTCAGGTTTTAAATCACACCCGTCGATATTAGCTTTAGGTCAGGGACGGATGGGACGGCTTCTGGGTCCGGATTTGGACCGCGGCCCACCAGTTAGTGACCTCTGCTCTGGATGTTGAAAAGAACTGCATTTTCAAATGGCTTTGATCTGACACCACATCATTTGGTTACATTGAGTCGTTGTCCGCACTCACGGTGAGAGCAGTACACGCCCGTCCAGCCCCCCAAGCAGCGGCGGCCTCCGTCGTCGTCGCAGGTGTAGTGGCCGAAGGTGTCGTTGCGGGGCCGGCAGTAGGACGAGCAGGCGTTGCCGTGGTAGTACTCATTACACACTAAGTGGTATGAGTAGTTAAGCTCGCTCTGGTTGCCAAACTGCACGCCCTGGGACCAGTCTTCCCCAACTCTTAGTCTGTGGCGGGTCGCCAGCCGACTGATGAGGTTATTCTGGTTTTCTGGATGAGCGAGGGAAGAGATGGAGAGACTTTGATGTCTTGTGACAGATGAGGAATTATTCTAAAAGAAATAAGTTGACACTGTTTAAATGTTACACAATCACTCTCATATTATATTATATTCCGTGGGGAAATAAATGTTGGTCTGTAATGACTTTACAGTGACCTGATGCTCTCTGCTTTGTAATAAAAAACTTCTAGTGCGTTAAAAATGGATAATGGAAAGTTTATAGTATTATCTACCTTCTATCGTGCTAGAAGATGAAACATGAGGAGAAATATAAGAATTTACTCTTCAAACATGGACTCCTGCATTACCGTCTAATCAAACGTCAACACGCTTCTCTATTGGCTGCGCTGACGCCCCCCTGTGGTGAAGAACCAGCAGTTACCTGTAGAGTCCAGACCTGAAGACTCCGCGTTCCAAGCTTCAATGATCAGCGCGAAAGTCTCCTGAATGAGTTGGGAAGGCTTAGTCAATGGTGTAATCTAATATGTGATCGATTATTGACCATGTTTAAAAAAGTTCAATTTCGTACATTTTATCGTTTTGAAAGCAAAAGAAATACACAAGAAGCTATCAGTATATATTATAGAAGCGTTCTGTAAAGAATGTTGGGAAGCACATAGATTAGCGCAGCACTTGTTAAAGTTATGACTTTGTTAGACAAACCCTTAGACGTGAGTCACCTACCGGCCACTTGAAGCTGATGTCCACCTTGACGGGCGCGCTCGCGGATATGGATTTGGGGTCCGCGCCGAAGATCTCCGTGAACGCGATTCCGTACGTGCAGGGCGGCTCCGGTTTGGTATCGTCCTGCGAGTCCTGCGAGTGCTTGAGGCACACGCGGAAAAAGATCTGGCAGTCCTGGGTCTGGAACTGACAGACGCTGCGCGCGCTGGTGAAGGAGTTGATCTTCAGCTCGAAGACCGCCGAGGAAAAGATCTGATAAGGAGCACAGAAGAGGGGGTAGAGAGGAAAATAAAACTTTATTATGCCAAGAAATAAAAGATAAATGGTAACCTACGGAATGAATGAGCATAGATACAGTACAGGTTCACTCGCCCTAACTTTGGAAAACATAACACGTAACGTTTTCTTATTCCCGCAGATAACTATTATATATATATATATGACGTCAGACTG